ATTTGTTCTTTCATTTAAACTTGAATTGTAATTGTTATTTTTTTCTGCTTCGCCTGTTGTTATTGTAAAATACAAATCGTCACATAATTTTATTTTGTTGCGATTGGTTGTGCATGGTATTATAATGTTATAATACCATGCACAACCAATCATTTGTAAATGATTGGTTGTGCATGGTAAATGCATGTCTTTTTTGTGAATTTGCCGAAGAACCAGGCACACTTATCCGACTATTTTCAAATCCAAAGTTCGAAGTCCCAACATTCGAAGAACATATCCAATACATCAATAACAAAATCGAAAAAGCGCAAGATTACGCCGACCAACGTAGAGAATCAACCAAAACAAATTAGGAATATAGACAAGGTAAAAGAAATTGTAGAGAATTGTGATTTTAGTCATATAATTTTTGATGATGTAAAGGAAACTCCTAATACTAGGTTAAGTAATAATAATAATACTAATTTTTGTGATTTATTTCTTAAATATAAAATTACTAACCAATCAATGTTACTCTATTATTTAAAATATGATAAAGATTTTCTTAATGCACATAGTAAACTACCATCTAACCAAGTTATTATAAGCAAATTATATGTACGTTCAATGTCCTTATTTACTGTAATACCTTTTCATAAAATAATGTCTCGTTATGTAATAGATGATAATATTAATATTTCTAGATTAACAGGAGTAATGATATATTTTTTTAAAAAAGTTCCCTTAAGTAATAGTTTTCCTGAAATGTTTTTTTTTGATTCTATTTTTGACGTTTTAACTTTATCAGATCATAAAAAAATAACTTTATTTTTAATTGGATCCTCCAATACAGGAAAATCCTTTCTCTCACAATTTCTAACCTCTGTCTATAGAAACTATGAGATAGGGTCTATATTAGCACCTAACGGAGATCGTTTAAGTGAGTTTTGGTTGCAACAATGCATTTTTACACACATAAAACGCTGTGAAGAACTTGTTATTCCGACTATGCAAATAGCACAGGAATTCAAAAAACTTTTTGAGGGTAACACAGCTTTACTTGGTAATGTAAAATATAAAGACAATATGGTTGTACCCAAAACTCCAATTATTATAACTACTAACGGAAATCAACCAAGTGATATTTGGAAGTTCATAAGTTCGGAAAAAGAAGCAATTAGTAATAGATGTTTTATTTTTAGCTTAAACACTCCACTGAAGAAAATAATACACGAGAATCACATTCCGAAAATAATACAGAATTCACAACAAATAATGAGCCGACTTTATCAAATTTACCTAAAACGAAAAGATTTAAGAAGACCTTTACTAGAAGAAGACGACAAGTTAGAGGGTTACTCCGACGAGGAAGCGACGGCCATTTATCTTTTAAAGACAAACTTATTTTTTATAACTGTAATTTTAATATTAAAAATGTAAATTTTAATAAAAGAAAATACAATATCATACAAGATAAATTATTTTTTTTCTTTTAAATCACTTAATACAACAGGATATTTAACATTTAAGATGGACTAGAATTAATGGAATATATACAGTTCAAAGATTTCGTATATCAACACTATGAATACAATACTAACGAGGCTAAAATCAAACTTATTTTAAGTTTGTTAAATGAAATCGGAAGAAAGGATATAAAAAGTTAATAGTTTAATTTGAAAAACCACCATCATACGAAGAAAGTGTAAATCCTACACCGTATGCAGAACTGGAAAATCGAGACAGTTATCCAAACTTTAAAGTAGCAGATCCATTTTGGGCAGAAAATGCAAAATGTAATACTCCGTCGTATTATCCACCTGAAGTTATTAGTTTAAAACAAAGTTTAAAACACTTTTGTTTAAAACACTTTTGTTTAAAACACTTTCGAACTATTTAAAAAAAATAATTTTTGAAATTTTAAATGACCTTTTTTAAAATTTGTATATATTTTTTTGCAATGAAAAAAGAACAATAAAATACTTAATGAATTACACGAATTTAATTCGATGAAGCAAAACAAGTTGATAGAATGGAATTACAACTATGATCTTGTTTTTAATCTTGTAACAAATGTTGATACAAATGTTGTTACAATCTTGGTACAAATGTCCTTTAATAAGACTAAACAAGACGAATTAATTATGTCATCTCTTGTTAATAGTTTTATGCAATGTATAGATTGGTTAATTGAACTATGTAAATTTGTTTATGATCCTCATTTTAAACCTTGTTATGTTTATAAATTTGATTTTATTTAGAATGAAAAGAAAAAATTTACTTTGACATGCTAGAATACACCATGATTTAGAGAAATTTTTTTCAATAAAAGAAGACAAATAAAAAGAGTTTTAGATTAGGTGTTATGAAGAATTAAGATATAAAAACCGTTATGATACATGGACTTTGAAAGATTTGTGTAAAAAAAAGTTAGCTTCTGAAAAACTACAACGAATAGTCATACCAAACTTACGTAAACAAATTAACAATTTGATGTTTTCGTTTTTTCAAAATAATTAGAAAATTTTTTCACAATATCTGTTTACAAATCACACGAAGACGATTGTTTTGAATTAATTGACACACGTATATTAATAAGATCACATTATTCCATTTTTTTATTTCAATAAAAAAATGAAACTAATTACTGAAGATCAAGCCTTTTTATTTTTTTACAGAGAAGAATCCGATATTATGACAAAATTTTTAAATGTGGAACATGAATAGATTAATGATCCATCGTAATTGAAAGCGTTTGGCAAAAATTGTAATTGGTACAAGAAGAAGTTTTAAAACAAACAAACTATTTAAAAAACATTGAAAAAACAGAAGAAATTAAACGAGACTTTTATAATTTTGTAAAACAAATATTTTCAAAATAAAATTTTTTTTATTTTTTTGAGATTTAAAACAAAAAAAAAATGAAACTTGTGAAAAATGATCAAATCAGATTTGTTAGTTACAACCCTCAAGAAGCAAGAATACTAATAAACATAGCAGAAGACCGATACGGATCCGATAGTTGTAGAGTGTTGGCAGAATTTTATCGTATTGGTGTTATTATAGACGAAGAAATTCAAAAACGTTCAAACAATTTTACAAATAAAGAACTCTTTGAAAATTTCAATAAAAGTTTTGAAAACTTTGTTAAAAGTTTATTCTGAGAATAAAAACAAAATTTTAAATTCATAATTTTTTATATTTAATATATTGTCTCTTTCATTTTTTATAACATGATAACATTTCAATACATCTTTTTGCAATGTTCAATGACTTCACTATTATTATGAAAACACGTGTCAGGATAAAATACGCGATGCGGAATAGCAAATCAAGAACTTCTATCAACTCCATTTGATGTCTTGATCAATTTTAAATCTTTAATATAAAAACCGTATACTCTTTTACAACTATCCAATTCGCTTTCTTAAGCTTAAAGAACTTTATCCATCCAAACACCTTGATTTAAATGCGTTTCCTGTAAATGTAAATTTTGTTGATATAAATATAACAAACAATCGTCCGTCGCATCAAAAGACATTTTGATTCATGAATTTTTATTTTACATTTTTCCAATTTACATATTTTTAACAAACAATAGCAACAACCGCGGCATCGTTCGAATAGTTCTTGCACGTACGGGCACTCGGATGTTACACAACAATGATTGTGCTCGCTTTCTTCTCCTTTACATAAACAACAACCTATACATTCTCGATTATGTGCAAAATAACGGTCGTTTCTGTTCATTCTGTTCTCGTTTAAATGTCGATCTATTCAAATCATTATTCCATCGAGTCAGGGTTAGGGTTACCCTGAGGTAACTCTAAGGGTTCATTATACTATCGAGTATGCCAACTTGTTCTAAAAAAAATTATTTTTAGCTTAAAAGAATTTTTTGCAAAAAAAAATTGTTTTTAATTTTTTTAATTTACCATTGTCTATTTATGGAATATCGTTGAAGATTTCCAGCTCAATTTTATACAAATATTTATCTGTTTCCTTAAGTGGTCTCGTTTCAACCACTTGAGGGACATAAATTTGAGGCGCTTTATATACGTTTTCTACCACATAAGGTTTAACAATCTATAAAAAAATCACAAACACTTTTAAAAAAATACAAAACAAATTTTTTGAAAAAAGAAAATAATAAACTTACAGCTACAGGTTTTTCAAACAGTTTTCGCTCAACTTTATCTTTTTTATTTTCATCAATTTTTTTAACTTTAACCATTTTTTTATATTATAAAAAACAACTATATAATTTGACAGAAAACTTTTTTAATATTTTTTATAACGAATATAATTAAAAAGCATTTGCTTTTTTTATACATTTTTTTTATAACGCTAGATAAACTTTAAACAAAAAAAAAATGTTTTAATCTTTTTTTTTTAAAAAAAACATTATCGGATTATAACATTAGTTATGACGAAGGTCGGGATGGAAATTAAGGTCGGGATGGAAATTAAGGTCGGGATGGAACTGAGTGAATAAATCCTAAATGGGTAGATCATCATGTAAGACTGCTGCTAATTTTCTGCAGAATGAAAATGTCCGCGATTTAGTCGCCTATATGATGAAAATACTAGACGTCCACATAACAGTGCCTAAACTAAACTCTAAAGAAAAATTTAGCATAAGAAATTCTTTATCAGAGAATGTAATAGATAAAATATTAAACTTCGATTTTTTAAATTTAAATAAAGTATTATTACAAGACGAATTTTTCACTGATGAAAAATTATTATTTAAAAATATAACTAGTAACAGCACCGAAACTTATAATAATGATATATCTGATTATAAAAAATATATTATGTATAAAACAAGAACAGAACTTGATAATGAACTATCACTGCTACTAAGTGAAAGTAATTTATTTGTTCTTAGTGGCCTAAAAACATGTTTGTCCAATATATATTATATGTTAGATTATATGTTAAATATTTCTCTTTGCAAAAATTCATGAAAAGTGAACAACACAGTAAATTATATAAATAAATTTATAAATGATAGTAATATAGCAGTATTAGTACTAAAATAAATAAAGAACAAGATAATGCTTCTGTGGTAAATTTATTAAAAAAGATATACTTAGTGAATTACAGTATAAAATTAATAACATTTAATTATTAAAATACTGTTATATATACTTGCACCAAGGGTCAATATCTTTTTTATCTTTTAAGTTAAGATAATAAGAATTTTCTAATGTTGTTTACATCTGATATTTTTGCTCACTATTATGGTTACAAACACCTCATATAAACCCTGTATATTTTTTTTTTGATGGTAACAAACACCCCATATAAACCTGTTTAGGAAAAAAAACAAATCTAAATTCTGGCATAATATAGAGTGTGGGTTTGCAACAATGATAGAAGCGCATTGTAGTAATGTCAATGGACATTCTCCTCTTGTTTGTAATTATGGTCTTTGCCATATTGCTGTTTAGAGTATGAATGATATTGATTTGTACCTTCTCTTTATGAGTTTTGAGTTTTATGACTTCATAAGAAGTTTAAGTGAACTTAAATATAAAACAATAATAATAGTTTTAATAATATGTGTGTTGTTTTTTCTTTGTGGTTATTATTATCAGCAACAATGTTCAGTAAGTCAAAGCAAAAAAAAAAAAAAAAAGGCATTAAAAAGAATGACTTTTCCATATTTTACCTTTTTTTTTGAAAAGAGGAAAAAAGGAAATGTGTATCGCTATCTGTTGGTAAAATATATTTGAATTAACAATATATTTGAATAATAACAATAAAAATAATGTAACAAGTTTATATCATTAGTTAAATTATACGATCGAATTTGCAAATTCTGGGAAAATAATTAGTCTTTAAAATTTTAGATCATGCAAAGCTGTGTACTTCATTTGCAAGGAGCAAATTAATAAAAGTTTAATAGCAAGAAATCAACAAAGAACAAAACAAAAACAATAAACTTACGACTACAAGTGATAACACTTTAGTCACTATTTGCATTATAAAAATATAAAAATAATAGTGTTATTACCTTTAAAAAGCTCATTCTTTGTTTAAATAACATTATTAGTTCTTAACATTTTAAAAGTGAATTAAGTTTTGATATTATTTGAACATCCACTTTACGCAATACGCATCCACAATACGCAAATCATTTAAATTTTTTTAATTTTTAAAGTTAATTAAGGTGCCCCAAGAAGTCCTTACGATCTTATCACAGAGCACCTCGGAAGAGCATTTCATAGAAAGTTCACGCTTTCTTCCCAACTAATGTCGCAAAACTTGCAAAGAGGTAAGCTTTAACCACGGATCTTACGTTTCTGAGGCGAGTGCGCTACCACTGCGCCTCGGCTGCTTTTATTATTTATTAATCTTTGTTTTTTAAACTTTCTCAGCATGATTATAAAACTTGCAAACGGCCGTGTTCAAGTTATCAAAAATATTATACTTGCGTGTGATCATGCAAGGCAAAAAACTGCACGTCTTTCCTGAGAAACCTTGCTTTACTGTATTTGGTTAGGGTTAGAGTAAGGGTTACCAGATTTGTATATTTACACAACATATATTTTTAAAAGGATGTTAAGAATCTTTAACACATTTGGCTACTATTTTACTATTTAAACTATCTACTTTTTTTTTTATTTAAACTATCTATTCATATATTAATATTATAACTAGCTACTATTTTACTATTTAAACTATCAAAAGCGGGGTAATAACATATCAATAACTATCATTATTAAGAGTTTTATCAAGAACTTGAGTTGAAAACCTTAGTGGTTAGCTGCAAGTCTATGAGCTGTAAGGTAATAGTCATCAATTCATTTGTTTGGTTAAGTAAAATTTTAAATTTCTGGTATTTTGGTCATGATAACTTAAATAGTTCAAAGTAAATAAAACATAAAAATATCTTTTAGTTGTTAGAAATGTTGTTAGAAATTTTCTTTGTTGTTAGAAAGTTCCTCTTTGCTTTTATGTTGTTTGTCTGAAGTTTAATATTTTAATATAAAAATATTTTTTTAATAACTACATACTTTCTATTGTTTATATAATTTTCATACATACTGTCTTTTATTTTTATAATTTTCAATATTTATTATTTGAAATATGTTACAGTTAATGTAATACATTTATTTTTTAGAAATTTCAACAGTCTCTCTGCAGGAACTGCCGCGAAATGTTTGACAAGGAAGGCTTATGCCAAAATGGATCGAAATTGAGATAGTTACATCACAAGTATATATTCTTCTACAGTTAACTCTTCTATCCTTGTTACTAGATTACCACAAGGTTCCCATTCCAGTTAATTACAATGGAACTTACAGTGGATTTACAAAGGCAAGAATGGAATGGATTGGCAAAGGCAAGAAAAAAAGACACTAACATATCATACATAGCTATATTAGACTGCAAAAATTAATTTAGCATGTGATGAATCTATACATATTATTTTAAAAAATCTTTTAAAGTGTTGTTGATATGTTTGATAAATATATGTTAAATTTCATGGTAACATAAAATTTAATATATGTTTATCATTACAATATTATATCATAATAAATGTATTTATTATTAGATTATTATGAAAAAAAAGGAGTAAAAAATGCGTAAAAACATTAAAAGATACAGATTTGCGTACTTTTTTAATACTATACTACTAAAGATAATTATAAAACTATACATGAATACATATATGTATATATACATATATGTAAATATGCATATATACATGAATACATATATGTATATATACATATATGAATAAAAACATATATGTATATATATGAATATATATATACGATATAATATTTCCTTAATTATATATATATAAATAAATATAAATTCATGAACTAGATATATATATGTATATACATTTAAGTATATATATGTAAACGTGTTTAAATTTCTAACTCTAACAATTGTATGTATGTTTTACATTATATATCTATTTTTGACTATTAATTTTTCAATGTTTTAATATAAGGTAAGTTTACCTTTACAATAAATTTCTTTAGATAAATATATAAGATGATTAATTTTTTTTTTTTTTTTTTTTTTTATAAAACAGTATTTATTTACAATTATAAAAATACATTATCTTAACATGTTAAAAATTAAAGTTTTACAATATATATATTTGTTTTACAATGAATTGATTTTCTTTTTCAAAAACGTTAACAGTAGCTACAATAATAATAAAATAAAATAATAATAATACAAGTGTTGCCGTATATATATATATAGTTTTTTCCTTTTCATATTTTTTATTTATTTATTTTTTTTTTTTAAATTTTATATTTTTTTTTTATTTTTGTATTTTATATTTTTTTGTGTTTTTCGATTTTATATTTTTTTGTATTTTTGTTTTTTTAAATAGAAAGACATTGTGCGGAAGAAAGTCGAAAGTTTAGAAAAGTTAAAGAGGAAGGTAATTTAAAGAGAATTCAAGAAAATTTTTATTAAAAAGAAGGAAATTATAACAAAATAAAAGCTAAAAAAATTACAATACTTTTACACCAATACCACATTACGTACACTACAGAAAAACATTTAATAAGGGAAATTATAGCTCATAAAATAATGGCTGGCAGTGATTTTCGAATTATAAATAATAATATTTTGTTGTAAAAATAATAATAGGTAGAGAAGTGGAAAACGTCACTAAACATATAGTTCTTTTTGAGCTAGGGTGTCAGTTTAGCTCATATGTTTAGTTTCAGTCTTCCGTTCTCTACTTGACATATTATATTTTTAACACAGAAAAGTTGACAGAAAATGTCCGTAGTGTTTCTACGGACATGATAATTATATTTTAAAGTAATGATATTCCTGATTTTCCTGATAATTATCCTGATCACTGCCATTGGGTCAATTTTCATGTTACTAAACATGTGGTGACATCTGCTGTTCCATATCTCACTCATGATGGTTTGGGTGAGTGTCAACAGCAGTTGCGAGGTAGGGTTTTTTTCCGATAAATTCGCGGTTCCGATAGAGAAAATCGAATTTATCGGCGAAAAACCCTTTTGGGACGTCAAGGAGTTATATACATGTTTAAAATATTCCCAAATTTCAACAGAGGGAGGACAGTAGGCAAAGATGTGAAGATTGTCCTCGATTTTACCACAAGTTTTACATTTGTTGTTTTGGACTATCTGTTGCCTTGTGCTTTTGGCTAGCAAGGCCGCAGAAGGTAGACTGT